TTAATTTGATAATCGTGAAGGCGGCGGTCTTAATTTGAGATCGTTCTTGTCCCCGTGGATGCTCCAATCATTTAATATCCTGGTATCAAGTAAATTTTAACTTAATTTAGAGTAATTTTTTGCGGTGTGCTTAGACTTCCTGGCTGCTTCCTCCAACGTCGGCTCCGTTGTTTCGATGAAGAGACAGAGAGAAAATCTGTTAATCTGTGTGTTGTTTGTTTTTCAAAATAAAACCAAAAATAAGAAAATGAAAAAGCAACTATTTTCTTCATTATTTGTCTCCAAAACCAAAATGAAAAAAAAATTGATAATGATGAATTTTTTCAGTTTTCGATCGTTTTCGTCACTCAAACTACCATGCTGGACTGAACCAAGACTGAACCAGGACTGAACCAGGACTGTCGGGTGATCAGGACTGAGATTGGGACCAGGACTGGGACCAGGACTGAGACCAGGACTGAGACCAGTTTAGTCCTACTTTAATCTTGTTTTAGTCCTGGTTCAGTCCTGTTTTAGTCCTGGTTTAGTCCTGTTTTAGCCTTGGTTTAGACCTGGTTTAGTCCTGGTTCAGTCCTGGTTTGATCCTGTTTTAGACCTGGTTTAGTCCCTGGTTCAGTGCTGGTTCAGTCCTAGTTTAGTCCTGGTTTAGTCTTTTTTTTTAGTCCTGGTTCAGTCCTGGTTTAGTCCTGGCTTAGTCTTTTTTTAGTCCTGGTTTAGTCCTGTTTTAGTCCTGGTTCAGTCCTGGTTCAGTCCTGTTTTAGTCCTGGTTCAGTCCTGGTTAAGTCCTTGGTTTAGTCCTGTTTTAGTCCTGGTTCAGTCCTGTTTTAGTCCTGGTTTAGACCTGGTTCAGTCCTGATTTAGTCCTGGTTTTGTCCTGTTTTGATCCAGTTTTAGTCCTGGTTCAGTCCTGGTTTAGAACTGGTTTAGTAATTTTTTTGTCCTTGGTTTAGTCCTGTCTTAGACCCGGTCTTAGTCCTGGTTCAGTCCTTGTTTATTCCTGGTTTAATCCTGGTTTAGTTCTGGTTTAGTCCTGGTTCAGTCCTTGTTTATTCCTGGTTTAGTTCTGGTTTAGTCCTGGTTTAGTCTTGGATCAGTCCTGGTTTATTCCTGGTTTAGTTCTGGTTTAGTCCTGGTTCAGTCCTTGTTTATTCCTGGTTTAATCCTGGTTTAGTTCTGGTTTAGTTCTGGTTTAGTCCTGGTTTAGTCTTGGATCAGTCCTGGTTTATTCCTGGTTTAGTTCTGGTTTAGTCCTGGTTCAGTCCTTGTTTATTCCTGGTTTAGTTCTGGTTTAGTCCTGGTTCAGTCCTGGTTTATTCCTGGTTTAGTTCTGGTTTAGTCCTGGTTCAGTCCTTGTTTATTCCTGGTTTAATCCTGGTTTAGTCCTGGTTTAGTCTTGGATCAGTCCTGGTTTATTCCTGGTTTAATCCTGGTTTAGTTCTGGTTTAGTCTTGGTTCAGTCCTGTTTTAGTCCTGTTTCTTGTTCTTATTTTTTCTGGTTTTATTTTGAAAAACCAATGAACGAACGACACTTAAATCCATCTGTAAACGCGTCCCGTGTTTACAGCTCGGTTTCGCCTCAACAACAATTACGCTCACGGTCCCACAGGGGGCGCCGAGAGCTCGTTTCCCAGCGTAATCCCGAGAAATGCGCCGGCGTTTTATGTTTTATGGTTTTAATCTCTCGTATTCACGGCTCACTCCGGACGTACGCCGAGTTTTCCAGCTTTCCGGCTCAAATTGCTTCTCCGGTGTTTTACTGTTGTTCGGGAGCGTCGCCGGAGCAGATGGGTAGTTCCGAACGGGATATAACGGGAAAAGATGAAAATAATTTAATCTAATATACCTGGGAATACACGGAAGAAGGAATTTTAATATAGGGAGAAGAAGAGTCGGACCGTTTGGGGAAAAATGTTCATATCCGACGAGCGTTATGAATTGATTTGTGTTTTAATTTTGCCGTTCTGTTCGCTTTTATTTACGAGATTTATGGGTTAAGTGAAGACTTAAGATGGTTTGGTCCACGTTTAGTCCTGGTTTAGTCTTGGTTTAGTTCAGTTTTAGTCCTGGTTTAGACTTCGACATGTTTAGGTTCAGTCCTGGTTTCATTTTATCCAAGGTTTTTCAGAATGTGGTTCAGTCCTTGTTCAATCCTGGTTCATCCCTGGTCTAGTCCTGGTCTAGTCCTAATATAGTCCTGGTTTAGCCCCAGGTTTAGCTCCAGTTTTAGTCCTGGTTCAGTCCTGGTTTAGTCTTTGACGCATTTAGGTTCAGTTCTTGTTTCGTTTTGTCCCAGTTTTTCTCAAAGTGTGGTTAAGATCTGGTTCAGTCCTTGTTTAATTTTTGTTCATCCCTGCTCTAGTCCTGCTCTAGTCCTGCTCTAGTCCTGGTCTAGTCCTGGTCTAGTCCTGGTCTAGTCCTGGGTTAGTCCCAGGTTTAGCTCCAGTTTTAGTCCTGGTTTAGTTTTATCCAAGTTTTTTCAGAATGTGGTTCAGTCTTTGTTCAGTCTTTGTTCATCCCTGGTCTAGTCCTGGTCTAGTCCTGGTCTAGTCCTAATATAGTCCTGGTTTAGCCCCAGATTTAGCTCCAGTTTTAGTCCTGGTTTAGTCTTTGACATGTTTAGGTTTAGTCCTGGTTTAATTTTATCCCAGTTGTTTCCAAAATATGGTTCAGATCTGGTTCAGTCTTTTTTCAATCTTTGTTCATCCCTGGTCTAGTCCTGGTCTAGTCCTGGTCTAGTCCTGGTCTAGTTCTGGTCTAGTTCCTGGTCTAGTCCTGGTCCAGTACTGGTCTAGTCCTGCTTTAAAAGCCCAAGATTTAGCTCCAGTTTTAGTCCTGGTTCAGTCCTGGTTTAGTCTTTGACACGTTTAGGTTCAAAGACTAGTTTAGTTTTATCCAAGTTTTTTCAGAATGTGGTTCAGTCCTTGTTCAATCCTGGTCTAGTCCTGGTCTAGCCCCAGTTTTTTAAATTTTTAATGTTATTTAATTATTTATTTTTTTGCCTCTGATAAAAAGCAATAAAATGTATTTAAAAGATGTAAAAAGACGTTGTAAATGTGTTTTGATGGACACATTGAACAACCAATAGCAGTTAAGTCTGATGTTGCGTCAGCCAATCAGGTCAAGGTTGAGGCCCTGGCGTTGTTGACACAGACCCGCCCCTCCTCATGTTGTTGTGAAGCTAACATGGTGAATACACATTTTGTTTTTGATTTTCTGGCATTTTTCAGCACAAACCAATGCTCAGAACTACCTCAAGTATCATTACAATTCATGTGAGTGACCAAACGTTTGTGAGATTCTTAAGATACTCGCCCGTGGAATCCTGGGAAGCCTTGTATTGCGCTAGTTTATAGCATGCTAATCGGCGCTAGCCCGTATGCTAACCTCCGCTAGCCTAGTTTCACTGAAAAAGCTCTTTTTTTAGAGGTGAAAACGATTATCTGTGGTTTATTCTTCTAAATCCCCAATGTCACTTAAATCTACCGTCCGCTATTTTTATTTAAATGTTGAAAAGTGTTATATTTGTGCTCGTTTTGCAGTGTTGGGGAGTAACAGATTACATGTACCGGGATTACGTAATCAGAGTACAAATTATGAGTAACTGTATTCAGTTACAGTTACTGTTTCAGTGTGTGGTAATTGGATTACAGTTACTTTGTTGAAATAAATGGATTACAGGGCGGTATTTTCCTGTTTTCACATTTTGAGCTAAACCAGGACTAATCCAGGACTAAAACTAGGACTAAAACCAGGACTAAATCAGCACTAAACCAGGACTAAACCAGGACTAAAACTAGGACTAAAACCAGGACTAAATCAGCACTAAACCAGGACTAAACCAGGTCTAAAAGCAGGACTAAATCAGAACTAAATTGAGGACTAAACTAGAACTAAAACTAGGACTAAAACCAGGTCTAAACAATATGACACCTAACAGTAGAGTGGACATAATTTAAGGCAGCAGTGATCTTATATAAAAATAATTTCTCTATCAATAATATTTTTAATATGGTAAAGTAAAGACTGGACTTTTTATTTTCTTTTAACAGACAAAACAAAACATATGTTCAGATTTCCTGGTCTTTGCTTCTCTACAGCAAACAGTCGCTTATTCATGGAGACTTGGGCTCAACAGACAATTTGAAGAGAACAAACAAGAATTTTCAGGATGTGGTCGCTTCATTCATGTCGTTTTAAAAACCATGACAATATCAAGTAATCCAAAGTATTCAGATTACGTTACTCACCTAAAGTAATTTAATAGATTACGTTACAAACTACATTTTGGGATATGTAATCTGTAATCTGTAGGGGATTACATTTTAAAAGTAAACTTCCCAACACTGTCGTTTTGGTAGTAGCACATGTTCTTTTTAGCCTGTGCTGCTAACGTGGTTCAGAACACTGTAAGCTTTGAACACTTTGAAGCTATTTTTATTGTATTATTTTTCTTTTTATTTGGAAAGAGCCAATATTTACATTACAGATTTCCAGTTCAAATGTGATCTTTCCAATTTTGGTATATAACAAAAAAAAAGAAAACTAAACTGTTTACCAGAACAGGTGAGTTTACAGAAACAAAACTGCCATTAAAAATATCAAAATCTTTCCTGATTGGGGTGATATATTTAATCCATTTATTCCAAATACAATAAAATTTGTCTCTTTTAGGGTATATTATATTATTTCTGTATTTTCATAACCAGATACTATAAAAAAGATACAGAAAGCAGATAAAGACGGCAAACACTTGATTTCAAATTGTGATGTCACAGATTGTAATCCAGAATGAGCTCCCTCGTGTGGTTTTAAAAGTTGTTTGGTTCTCGAGCGACCCACACCTTGTTCACACCTTAGGGCTGTTGATTCTTACTGTAAACTAGGGTGTGATACTTTCATTTTTCTCTTCAGAAAGATTTAAACTGTCCATCGTGAATAGACAATAATAATAAATACAAATCTAAACGCACTTCCTGTCTCTCCGTGTGTGTCTCTCGTAGCTCCGGAGTGCGGCGGGATGCTGGACGCCAGCGAGGCCGGGTACATCACGTCGCCCGGGTACCCGCTGGAGTACCCGCCCCATCAGAACTGTCACTGGGTCATCACGGCTCCAGAACCGACCCAGCGCATCGCCCTCAACTTCAACCCGCACTTCGAGATCGAGAGGCTGGACTGCAAGTAAGAACTGCTCCTCCTCGGGGATTATGTGTGGACCAGGACCAGGACTAGACCAGGACTAGACCAGGAAGGACCCAGGATCATACCTTGGATTAGACTAGACTCTAAAGCAGGACTAATCATTTGTTCTTCGTTTAGTCCTAATTAAAGTCTAATTTAGTCCTCGTTTAGTCTCGATTTAGTCCTGATTTAGTCCTAATTAAAGTCTAATTTAGTCCTCGTTTAGTCCCGGTTTAGTCCTGATTTAGTCCTAATTGAGTCCCGGTTGAGTCCAGGTTCAGTCCTGGTCCAATCCTGGTCTCGGGACTAAAGCGGGACTAATCAGGACTGAACCAGGATTAAATTTAATTGAGGGACTAAACCAGGACTAAACCAGGGACAGAACCAGGACTAGACTCCAAGACTAAACTAAACCAGGACTAAACCAGGACTTAGAGGAGGACTGAAACAGGACTAAACCAGGACTGAACCAAGGACTAAACTAAGACTAAACCAGGACTAAACCAGGGACTAAACCAGGGACTAAACCAGGGACTGAACCAGGGACTGAACCAGGGACTGAACCAGGATTAAACAAGGACTAAAGCAAGTCTGAACCGGGACTAAAGCAGGACTAAACCAGGACTAGAGGAGCACTAAAGGAGGACTGAACCAGTGCTGAACCAGGACTAAGCCAAGACTAAACCGGGACTAAACCAGGGACAGAACCAGGACTAGACTCCAGACAAAACTAAACCAGGACTAAACCAGGACTAGAGGAGAACTAAACTAGGGACTAAACCAGGGATAAACCAGGATTATACCTTGGACTAAACCCGGACTAAACAGAGATTAATTCTGGACTAAGAACTCCAATTGCGAGCTGCTGTTGATGTGTTATACTGGGGTCTAAACCAGGTCTAACTCAGGTCTAAATCAGGTCTAAACCAGGTCTATCCAGGTCTATCTCAGGTCTAAACCAGGTCTAACCCAGGTCCATCTCAGGTCTCTGTGTGCTACCTGTCCAGAGCTGTAAACAAACAGCAGGTTTAGGTTTAGGTTGGACTTTCGCTCTTTTCTTTTTCACATAAACGTCTCTTTGTTCATGTTTTTTTGCGTAACCCACGGCGACGCTTTCTCCGCTCACAAACAAAAGGAACATATGAAGAGAATTATTCTGCTCCGAGAACGGAAACTACCACAGCTGACTCGCATTTTAACTTTTCTCTCAAATATTTACTCCTCCTGGAAATTCAAACGGCAAGAATTACTTTTTTTTTTTTTCATTTTGTCTCCGAGAATCTGGCTGACATTTCGATATCAGACGCGGAGGATTATGGGAATGTCAAAAGATTTTAAAACGGATAAAATACAACGTGTACGGGTCGAGTTAAGGCCGCGAGGATTTGAGAAGGTCCACTGGGGTTTGTACTGGTTTAGACCTGGTTTAGTCCTGATTTAGTCCTTATTAACTTCTGTTTTCTTGGTTTATTTTCTGTTCAGTATTTTCTTAGTCCTGGTTTAGTCCTTGATCCCAATTTAGTCCAGTTTTAGTCCTGATTTAATCCAGGTTTAGTCCTGGTCTTGTCCTAACTGAGGTCTGTTTTAGTCCTGTATTGGTCCTGGTTTAGTCCAGTTTTAGTCCTGGTTTAATTCAGGTTTATTCCTTGTTAACTTCTGGTTTAGTCCAGGTTTATTCTTGGTTTAGTCCTGGTCTAGTCCTACTTAAGGTCTGGCTTAGTCCTGTATTGGTCCTGGTTTAGTCCTGTTCTAGTCCAAGTTAAGGTCTGGTTTAGTCCTGGTTTATTCTTGGTTTAATTCTGGTTTAGTCCTGGTTCAGTTTTGATCTTAGTCCTTGTTTCTTTTTGGTTTAGTCCTGGTTTAGTCCTGGTTCAGTATTATCTTAGTCCTGGTTTAGCCCTTGATCCCAATGTAGTCCAGTTTTATTCCTGGTTTAGTCCTTGTTTAGTCTTGGTTTAGTCCTGATTTAGTCCTAATTGAGTCCCGGTTGAGTCCGGGTTAAGTCCTGGTCCAATCCAGTCCTTGATTCCAGTTTAGTCCAGTTTTAGTCCTGGTTAAATCCAGGTTTACTTCTTATTAACTTCTGGTTTAGTCCCAATTAAGATCTGGTTTAGTCCTGATGGAGTCCTAACTGAATCCTGATTGAACCAGTTTTGAGTCCAGGTTCAGTCCTGGTCCAGTCCGAGTCTAGTCAGGGTTAAATACCGGTTTAGTCTGTGTTTAGTTTACATTTAGCCCCAGGTTTATTCTTGATTTAGTCCTGGTCTAGTCCTAATTAAGTCAGTTTAGTCCTGATTGAGTCCTGGTTAAGTCTGGGCTCAGTCCCAGTCCAGTCCTGGTCTAGTCCGGGTTAAAAACTGGTTTAGTTTGCGTGTAGCCCCAGGTCTAGTCTTGATTTAGTCCTGGTTGTGTCCATATTAAGTCTTGGTCTAGTCCTGATTCAGTATTTTCTCAGTATTCGGTGTCGGTTTAGTCCAGTTTTAGTCCTGGTCTAGTTCTTGCTTAGATCTCCTCCTTCCGTTTGAGTCCAGACCAGAGCAGGACTCGTCATTTGTCTCTGTTTGTCTCCGTTTGTCTCCGTGGTCCTGGTCCTGAGTCCGGTCCAGGTCTGAGTTTCCTAAATAAACGGCCTCCTGCAGCTGACGTGCCCTTGAGCAAGGAATGTGCTGCAGTTAATTGGACCTCAAACCGTCGCCAGTAAAAGACTTTGTGGCCACTCCGGGCTTCCATACGTCTGCAGATGTGTAAAAGACAGAAAGAAAGAAAGAAAGAAAAGAGAAAGAGAGAAAAGAGAAAGAGGCCGTTGTTTCGAGGAGCGATTTATGGAGAAAAAGACGAACACAGATCAGGAAAAAAAAAAAGAGAAAGAGCGAGGTTTGGACAGTGAGGTTTTGACCTGGTTTTGACCTGGTTTTGACCTGGTTTATCTATGGTTTAGTGCCGGTTTAGTCTTGCTTTAGTCCTGGTTGAGTCCTGGTTCAGACCTACTTTAGTTCTGGTTTAATCTGGGTTCAAATTTAGTTTAGTCCTGGTACGGTCCCTGTAAAACCCTGGTCTGTTCCTGGTTTTGACATGGTGTAGTCCTTGGTTTAGTCCTGGTTTAGTCCTTGGTTTAGTCCTGGTTCAGTCCTGGTTTAGTGCTGATTTTGACCTGATTTAGTCCCCGGTTTAGTTTTAGTTTAGACCTGGTTTAGCTCTACTTTTGACCTGGTTTAGTCATGGTTTATCTATGGTTTAATCTTTTTTTAGTCCTGGTTTAGGCTTGGTTTAGTTCTAGTTTAGTCCTGGTTTAGTCTTAGTTTAGTCCTGGATTTGAACTGTTTTAGTCCTGGTTTAGTCCCTGGTTTAGACCTGGTTTAGCTCTAGTTTAGTGTTGGTTTAGTCCGGGTTTAGACCCGTTTTAGTCCTGGCACGGTCCTGCTAAAACCCTGGTCTATTTCTGGTTTTGTCCTGGTTTAGTCCTGGTGCAGTCTTGGTTTAGACCTGATGTAGTCTTGGTTTAGACCTGGTGTAGTCCTGGTTTAGACCTGGTTTAGTCTTGGTTTAGACCTGGTTTTGTCCTGGTTTAGTCCTGGTTTTGCTCTGGCTAAATCCTGGTTTTGTCTCAGTTTAGTCCTTGGTTGAGTCCTGGTTGAGTCTAGGTCGAGTCCAGGTTTAGTACAAGTTTAGTCCTGGTTTGATCCTTGTTTAGAACTGCTTTGGACCTAGTTGAGTCCTGGTTGAGTCCTTAGTCCTTGTTCAATCTTGGTTTTGTTCCTTGTTTAGTCATTATTTGGTTCTGTATTAGTCCTGGTTTAGTTCTGGTTAAATCCTCGTTTTGTCTCGGTTTAGTCCTTGTTTGAGTCTTGTTTGAGTCCTGGTTGAGTTCTGGTTGAGTCCTGGTTGAGTTCTGGTAAATCCACAACAGCTTTTCTCAATTACAAATAACAAAAAAATCCCCCTCGTTTTTCACTTGGACCAAAACAGAAGCAATAAAAGTGAAAGTTCTGTTCTGGAACAAGTTTCTGTATTTAGTATTATTTCTTTTTTATTTCTTTTTTATTGTTTAGTTGCGTGTCCCGGTCGGTCGGTCGTGAGTGGACTTCCCCTTTCACAAATCTCTCTGCTTCAGACTTTGCCCCTCAGGCCGGAGCACAAATGATTCTTTCTGTTTTTCCTTTTTCTTTTTTTAAATTTTTTTATTGGAGTGAGTTTTATTCTTCACGGTCGCTCGAGGGAGAAAACCATGAACCCGAGCGCCCCCCCCCCGACCCTCGCCCACGCCGCCCACGCCGCCCACGCCGCCCACGCCCCCCGCCCTCCTGCCCTCCTGCCCTCGTCCGGGGTCCGAGCGTCTGAGCGAGTGGGCGAGTGGGCGAGTCCAGCGTCAGGAACGAGACCGGTTCACGCTCACTTAAAGCTGCACTGTGGAACTTTTCTACAGGTTTAGGGTCCGTCAAAACCAGGTCTAAACCAGGACTGAATCAGGTCCACACCAGGACTAAACCAGGACTAAACCAGGTCTAAACCAGGACTAAACCAGGTCTAAACCAGTTTTAAACTAGCTCTGAACCAGGACTAAATCAGAACCAAATTAGGTCTAATTAAGGATTAAACCAGGACCAAATCAGAACCAAACGACGTCTAAACCAGGTTTAAACCAGGACTAAACCAGGTCTAAACCAGGTCTAAACCAGGTCTAAACCAGGACTAAACCAGGTCTAAACCAGGACTGAATCAGGTCTAAACCAGGACTGAACCAGCACTAAACCAGGTCTAACCCAGGTTTAAACTAGGTCTGAACCAGGACTAAACCAAGACTAAACCAGGTCTTAACCTTGTCTGAACCAGGTCTAAATAAGGTCTAAATCAGGACTAAGCCAGAACTAAACCAGGATTTAACTAGGTCTAAACCAGGAAGGAACCAGGACTAAAACAGGATTAAAGTAGATGCAAACCAGATCTGAACCAAGACTAAAACAGAGCTACATCAGGTCTAAACTAGATCCAGTCCAGGTCTG